GAAGTAGATGGCAAGAGAACTAAGCAAAAGAATGATCCTTGACATCCTCTGAATGGACATGTTCCAACTCAGGTCTAGGATCAGCTTTATGGCAAGAACAAACATTCTTGAGGGTACATAAGAATAAATTCGAATTAAAAGATGGTAGAAGGAGACTATTGAGCAAGGAACAGAGGTGATATTCAGCAGGTTCTGACCAGTTCTGGAGAACCGGTAGTGGAAATTTTGAGTAGTTCAGAGAACCGGCAAATACCACCTCTGACTGGAGATTTTACAGTATCCTTCCCATGCCATGCCCACCAAGCCATGTCCACAGAACCAGTAGTAAAAAAATTTGAATCCCACCACTGGCAAGGAATAATATTAAAGGAGGATATGGCTGAAGGAACTGACCTTCCTTATACTACTTGGAGGATTCCTATTCCTCTTTTGTTCATTTTGAAAAGATTCAGTCCAGATTTCTAAGACCCCATGTTTCTAATGCAATTTCAAGGAGAAAGGCAGGGATTTTCAAGGTTGAAACTAGTGCATGGATGTGCATTATACACATTGGCTGAAACTACTGTTCTTCCCCAGAGGTTTGAGCCCTTTTCTAATGGGGGATAACTATAAATCAGGGGTGTCAAACTTGCGTTGTCACAGCGTCATCACATGACATATGGGAACTTTTTTCCTCTTCACTAAACCGGGTGGGGGCGGGGTCAGCACATGACACATCTTGCCTGCGGGCTGCGAGTTTGACACCCCTGCTATAAATCAACATGGATTAAAACTATTTTATTAAAACTCTGAACATCCCAGCCTCTCCAAGGAGGAATTCCTAATGATGGGGTATGAGCATTCACTTAGTGCATTTAAACAATGTATTATAAAGATCAGGAAGTTCCAAAGGGCTTGTCTGCTTGACCCAAGAATGTTTTTTCATGAAGAGACAGGCTCTTCCTCAGAAACCAGTTAAAGGTCACTAACCAGTGAGATGTTTATATCATATAACACTCTGTGAATTTTGGAACGTATTAACTCTAGTTGGTTTTAGCACTCTGCCCACAGCGGTTCTGCAGGGCTGATGTAAAAAAGTCCCAAATGAACTGAAACTGTGCCCCTGCAGATAAGGACCATTGAGACTATGGCTCATATCCTGTTGTATTGCCCTCTCTATAGGGACTCACAGACTTAAAACACCTTACCTGATTAAATATCCCGGAAATTTTGATCTCTTTTATGTACAACTCCTATTGTCAGGTCAGCATATTCAGTTTCTCTGAGTGTAGCTTAAATTTTGTTATACTTTCTGTAAAGTTAGGCAGATCTTTGTCATCCACCGAGGATTTTACTATCAATTGTAATATACTATCCTGTTCAGTTTTGCTTTATTTTATTTTAATGTTTTTTTTTTTTGTGCTGGTCTGTAAAGATTGATTGATTGATTCACACTTGAACTTATTTCTCAAAAATCTAGTGATTAGTCAGTGACAAACATAATGAAAGGTTTCACAAGGAATTGACATAATGGAAAAAATGTATCAGGCAAGTAGAATCTATTAACGCTGACTGTTTATTGTTGGACACTGCAGGGAGATGCATCAGACACTGAATACAAACAAAGAACCTTTTTACATCTGTTCAACTTGTGCAGTGTGTCAGAAACATTATGTGGTTAAATATATTAAAGTCATTAAAAGATATTTTCATATTTCTCAAGACTTGTATGTGATATAATATCTGAATACTATATTTGCTTTCTTTTGAACAAGTCTATCATAATCACCAAAAGTTTTTCAGGAAGCAAACTTTGAAGAAAAACTGTCCGTAGTTAGAAAGCTCAGTCTATGATTGGGAAGCCTGGCTCTCTTGTTAGATGCAAAAAGAGAGGAGGGTGGGGGGAAAGTCCCAAGTGTCAGTGAAGGAAGGCACTTGGGACTTGTCTCTCTGTGTCCCTGTGTTTGCTCTTGATAGACACAGTTCTATTTTTGTTTAAAGTATTTTATGGTCTCAGGTTAAGTTATTTGGGTCAGGCCCATTTCTTTGTACCTATAGTGTAACTGTTCTGACCAATGGTGGGATTCAATTTTTTTTACTACCGGTTCTGTGGGCATGGCTTGGAGGCGTGACAGGGGACGCATACTGTAAAATCTCCAGTCAGAGGTGGTATTTGCCAGTTCTCCAAACTACTCAAAATTTCCGCTACCGGTTCTTCAGAACTGGTCAGAACCTGCTGAATACTGACCCAGCTCCCCAAACACGACAAACCCTCTGACATGAACTTAAAAGATTTCTTTATTAGGAATGCTGGCAGCCCCGGCAAAAAGTTTCTCTTGCAAGCTAACAAGTCCATCCATCTGGAAGATGAATAATTATCTGCCACATCTATTTATCTCTGCTCCCTGCCTTTTATCCCCAGAGCTAGGATGAGGCCTCGCTAGTAGCGGTGATTCTTCCTTCCCTAGGATCAGCCCACAGCTTCCCACTGCTCTCCTCTTCTCTAGCTTCTGTGCAGCTGCACATCAGGCATTAGCTCCTCTTCTTCATCAACCACTTCCAGACCTGAGGGCTGATGGATGGCCCAGGCTCCACCTCTCTCTCTCTCTCTTTCTCTCTGCCAGCTCCATTCCCTCTTCCCCCTCGGAGCTCCCAGATTGTCCTGATGCTGACCATGATTCCCACACCTCCTCTCTGATTCAGCTGTTTTTTTTTAAACCTGGGAGAAGGGAATCTTTAAATAATGCCAGTATCTGTTAAATGAGTGACTCCCAAGTTTGGAATTAGTTTCCTTGCGTAATGCCATGGATTCATTCCTTTTCATAACTGTTTTATGGTGCTATTTTGATACTGGTTTGGTTTATGGTTGATTTTTAATTTGCAGGAATCTATTGAATGTTTATTAACTTGACTAAATGATTATATTTTATGGTACTCTTTTATTCGCAGTAAAATTTAGCGACATTTGTCCTTGGTCCAGCCTTGGGATTTGTTTATAATATTACTTTTGAAGCACTCAGCCCCAGGATGCAACTCAGTTGGTTCCATCCATTAAGCACATGATCTTCGTGGCCCTGAGGGTCCTTTGCTCTCTCTGAGTGGGATGAGGGAAACTTCTTAATGCACTTGGAGTGCCATCATCAGCTGCATTCTGCTGTTTGCTTCCATCAAAATGAATAAGACACATTTCCACAATAAAGAGAGGTTCCATAAAACAACCCAACAAAATTGACTATCTTTAGTTTTTTAAAAAAGCTTTTCCTGTAATCTAGTTTCCATGGTAATAGGAATAAGTATATTTTTCCTACTCTAATTCTTTTGCTGATAATGTGCTTAAATGTGTTTGCCACATGCAATCCTTTTTGCCCACTACATATTTTGAGTATTTTCATGTATTTTTGTTAGTTCTCCATTTAAATAATAGTTAAAATATATTACATTGGCAAAAATAAAGGACATAATTTCAGATCATGGTCATAATACTTATATTTGAAGAAAATAATGATTTGGTGGTTTTTGAGCTCACCATATTGAAATAAAAAATATAACTACTATATATCTCAAGTGTATTTATAAATTTGAAGCATATTTCTTCCAGCAAGTAGTGGCAAACCTCAAAATAATGATCTAGCATTCAGGATTTAGTATTTTAAAAATACAAGTTGTTGGCTCAACTCAGCAGTGAATTCAGAACCAATGATTCCCACTTGGTCATTTTCAACCAACAGAAGATCATTTATTAAATTAATGATCTCCTGTACAGGTTGAAAGTAACAAAGTAGGAATCATTGGTTTTCATATTTGAAAAAATATCATATTTTGATACAACTGGCTGAAGGTTGACTCAGCCTTCCATCCTTCTGAGGTCAGTAAAATAAGGACCCAGATTGTTCGGGCAATATGCTGACATTGTAAACTGCTCAGAGTTCAGTAAAGCACTATGGAGCAGTAAGTCTGTACTATTGCTATTACTATTGCTATATTGTTGTAGATAAGGTATGTTAATGCCAGTGGTGGGATTCAATTTTTTTTACTAACGGTTCTGTGTGGGTGGCTTAGTGGCCATGCCAGGGGAAGAATACTGTAAAATCTCCAGTCAGAGGTGATATTTGCCAGTTCTCCAAACTATTCAAAATTTCTGCTACCGGTTCTCCAGAACTGGTCAGAACCTGCTGAATACCACCTCTGGTTAATGCCAGGAAAAGAGAGTTCACATTTCCATTGGCTGGAAAAGAAGAGATGTACACACTTAGCATGCAGATCTGTACGACTTGATTTCTATGGTATGAGTTGTATATGGCTGACTATGCTGGATGTATACAGTTTTGTCTGAGATAAAACAGCTTATTTAGCTATGTTTTGCAGTGAACTTCTGCAAGTTCCTGAATATGAACTTATGTGATCAGAAAGTTAAGATTTATTACTATGCTTGATGTGAAGTCTGACACTTTTTGAAAGCTAGCATCCATAGTTGTTACCCAAGTTTTGTATGAAAAGGATAATGTTTTCCAGAATAGGATGCACATATGTGAACTGTTGTATCTGTTCATCTGCAGGAGAGGTTTCATGCACTCTTGGCTTCTGTACAGAATCCTACAGAGACTTGAGAATGAATCAGAATAGATTACCGGTAGGCAGATTTCAAATGGGCAAACTATTTCTAGAGTTTTGAATCTAATTCTTAAATTGAATTGAGTAGTGATCTACTAAACAAGTTTACCTGGTTTCTGATATGTCAATCTGAATATAGTTCTTTTCCCTTTTAGCAAACACACATGAGCCACTCTTATACAGTGTGTACTTATCTAACAGTATTTTTTGCATATACAGTTAGAATCTATTAAAAAGGACAATACATGATATTTCTTTTATATTTTAGGAAATTTTCAAATAATATTTTTCTGCTTACATTTATTCTTTCTTTCTTTCTTTCTTTCTTTCTTTCTTTCTTTCTTTCTTTCTTTCTTTCTTTCTTTCTTTCTTTCTTTCTTTCTTTCTTTCTTTCTTTCTTTCTCTCTCAGAATTTTTCCCAGGGAGTATCTTCTTCAGCAGATCCACCTATATTCTCTTGCAGATCTACAGCAGGTAAGTGGTTTTAGATATCAGACTCTATGTGTCTGTGTGTATGTTGTGTGTGAGAGAGAGAAAGAGGCTGTTCATTTTTTTTCAACTTGTGCATTAATGATAATTCTCAGTCAGTAATGAAAATATTTCATTTCCCAAATGATAACTTAAAGAACAGGTTATTTATAACTTGTTTATAACTTATAACTTGAAGTATGAGATGAGTTGGCTTCTTTTTGCCTTTAAAAAATATAAAGTTTTTATATTTTTTATGTTTTAATGTTTTAATATAAAGTTTTTATGAGATAAATATTTGTAAGAATTTCACAAATCAAAGTGGTAAAGTACAGTAATCTGTGGAGAAGAAGGATACTGATTTTTCTCTCTTTAAGAGTAGATTGCCATAATAGAAGTCTTTCTTGCAATGGTGATTGCCAAAATTCAGTGATGATATTTGTGAACTGATTTGAATATATGAAGTGCATTACAGAAAATGAATAATGAGTAAATATGGCTCTGTGTTATGTGGAAATGACTTGTGGTATCTGAACTCCAGGCTAACTTTCATAATAACTTACCTGCTGGACAAGAATGATCTTCAGGCTTCTTAGTTTAACTACTATAGTTCATCTCAAAATCTGCCAGTAGATGTTACTTTTGTCCAATCTTCATTTGAATAAGTCAGAAGAAAAAGTAGCTTAAAAGAAAAAAAATCAGTTTCCCCAGCTGACAGTTTATAAATCTCTAATGCTTTTTGATCTACCTCATTTCAAAAATGGACTTGGAAATGCCATCCACGGATTCTCAAATTGTCTAGAGGAGAGGGGAAAGAATAAAAGGAGCAAGGTTTCAGACTCATATTTCATCCATTTATTTAGCCACTCTGACAGATAATTTTGTGTGTTGATATACATTTAGATTCCCCCCCCCCCCCGCCCCTCACACCTTTCATCATGTAATTCAATTACTGTTGCTCCTGCTCTGGTGAGTAATTTTTGCTTTTAATCTAGCTCAATACTTATTATCAGCCTAGAAAGTTTTCTACTACTCTTTTGTCCTTGCCTCTTTTTCATTACTTGTTATGTTTAAAATAAAATTGTCTGCTTTATTTCTGTCAAAAAGATGTATTAGGAAGGATTGAAAAAAACAAGATTAGGACCTTTATGATGATAATGATGATGATTATATGCCATCAAGTTGGTGTCTACTCTTAACTAACACATAAATAGATTGGGAGGACCTATAATCAGAATAATCTGCTCCCAAGCTGGTCCCTCATATCTTCCAGTGATATACCCATTGCTACGCTAATTGAGTCCATCTGTCTTTCTGCTGGTCATCTTTTTCTATTCCTTCCAGCTTTCTCAGCATTGTAGACTTCTCAAGAGCTAGGTATTTGCATAATGTGCCCAAAAGATGATAATTAAGTTTGACCATGTGTGTATTTATTGAAAGCCATTATCTATGTTTTGTGTGCATTCTTGGCTGTGTATGGTATTCGCAAAAGTCCTCTCCAACACCAAAATTAAAAAAACATTAATACACTTTACCCTGTCTCTTTGAAGACCAATTTGCACTTTAATAGGGTGTAACAGGGAAAACTATTGCACAGATGATTCTTACCTATTTTTGTGGTATATTTCTTGACTGCTAGTTCTTTACTTTGATAGTTTGATACTTTGATCCTAAAAGACACATCATCAATTTCTTTATTATCAGTTCTAAGACTGGTTGCTGTATCTGTTCTCATTAATTTGGTCAAAATTAATTTGGTCAAAATCATTCGTTTAATCTCTTTAGTTCCATTTTCATTACGTCCCTTGGTGGGCCGCAGAGAAATCTCACCCCCAGAGCACCCACCCAAAACAATTAATCCAGGCTGTGCAGAAACACAAGGCTTCGCCACCCACATGGCCCATGGGAACCCTCCCCACCCACTCACTCCTTATCCAGCAAACTTGCCTGCTAAATTGCTATTTTTCCTTTTTCCGACCATCATCTGTTCTGCTGTGCCGGGAGATTTAGATTAGCTAGGAAGCAGGAAATGGTTGGATTTGTTGCTTTCTAGCTAGTCTTTAGATCTTCGGCTCTGCTTTTAAGTACAACCGAACCTCCCTTAGGACTGAAGGTTCTATTATTCAGTGCAGACTCATGTCAAGCAAATTTTATGTGACAGACTGAGCTAGCCAATGGCAGATAGATAGATCACTGAATGATTCTGCGAGCAACTCAGTCTGCCTGCCTGCTTTGCCTGATTTTGGGTAAAAGTTGCTCTTTTTAAATAAAAAAATCAATATTTATATAAATATTTATAATATTTACATACAAGCCATGCCCAGCTAGTCACATGACCACCACGCCACACCCACATATTAGGCCACACCCACAGAACCGGTTAGTGGTCCCTGGGATTTAAAATTATGAGTTTGGTGGTCCCTGAGGTCCAAAAGGTTGGCGACCCCTGGTTTAGAGTACCTTGTCTCACTTCTTTGCTAACCTGGAAACAATCTATTCTATCTGGATTGTGGCTTCTTGACCTGTGTATGGGTCTTTCATGAAGACAATGAGATGTTCTGGAATTCCCATTTTCCTAAGCATATTCCATATTTTGATGTGGTTGACATGATCAAAAGCCTTTCTGTAGTCAGTAAAGAACATGTTTACTTCTTTTTGGTATTCCTTGACTTTCTTAATTTTCCAGCATGTCTCTGCAATTATATTTCTTATTACTCAGCCTTTTCTAAAGCCAGCTTGAACTGTTTCCATTTGAATTCTCCTCATGTAGGATGTGTTGGATGAACCTAAACGTTATTTGATGGCATGTGAAATTAAAGATATTGTATAATAATTTACATACTCTCTTAAATTTCCTTTTTATATATTAGTGCGTACATTGATCTCTGCTGATCTGTTGGCTGTTTTCCAGATTTGTTTACATTATTTGGTTAGAACCTTGACTGATTCTTCTTCTGTTCTTTGCTGTATTTCTGTAGATATCTCAACCACTCCTTTACTTTCCAACTTGGTAATGACTAAGGTGCTGATCTAACATTACCTTCTAGTACTAGAATTTTTTGTTTATAGGAAATGTCTTCCAAAATACCTTGGATGTTGATATCTCTATTGAACAGAATGTCAGTATACTTTCCTATCTTTGTTTAATCATCTGGGAATCAGTTACTGCCTTTCCTTGATTGATTGATTGATGTCCTTTAGTACAGTATGCCAGTTTAAAGCTGGAACTAGCTTCTGAGTTTGGAGATTTTTTAAAATAATTCTTTGTTTGTTTGTTTGTTTGTTTGTTTGTTTTGGGTACTTTCAAGTCAACATTATTACCGGTGACTATCAAGTAGTTGCAGTTTTGTTGGCAAGTTTTCAGAAATGGTTTACCATTGACTCTTTCCTAGGGTTGAGAGACAAATACTGACCCAAGGTCACCCAGCTGGCTTTGTATGTAAGGCAGGATTAGAACTCATGGTCTTTCAATTTTACCTAGTGCCTTAACTACTACACCAGACTAGCTCCCCTATTCATTGTACTAGAGGCTTATTTATCACTGTTCATATATCTGCAGAATTTTTCCCCTCAAAATTGCTCTTTATTCATCTTTATTCTTTGTAGCATTCTCTTACATGTGTTTTTCTCTCATCCAAAGCCTCTTTGATTTCATCATTCATACTCTAATGTGTTTTTTTCACATAGCTAGTTACTTAGCATCTTATTAGAGCATTGTTATTGGAAAGTTTTCAAGCTTAGATGATCTTGAGAAAAGAAATATTGATGCATAATATCTCACTGCATTAAAGATAAATGTATGTGAGAGGAAGTTTGTTAACATTTGATTCTTTTTCTAAAGTCAAGTGTTGGAACAAAGGTAAAACTTTTAATCTGGCAACACATCAGGAGTGACCCAAGCAAGTCAAAGCAATGACTCAAAAATACATAGATTGGACTTTTTGCTTAATTACAGAATTGACTGGAAAAATGGCTGGCATATATCTAAGGTGTTATAGGAAAATAAAGGAAAGTAAACTTGATTATTCCCTATTCATGCATTATTGCTGCTTTTGTTGTAGGATCAGATCAAGCCCAAGATTTTAAATCATTTTAGTGGATTTTTCTATGACATTGAAATAGCAAGCAAGTTTGGGAAAATATAAGCCTTGTACTTATCCTATTAGATTTTCTGTGTAAAATAAATTTGCAATATAGGGCAATTTATTCACTATAGCTTAAGAATTATATTCCATGGTAAATTGGCAGCCTTTTCCAGCTAATGAAGATGAGAAAAGTTATTTTAAGTCTTCCTAGTTTTCTTTCCTTTGGAGAATATGGAAGCTGGTGGATTTCAAAGTTACTTTATTTTGCATTTGTGGATGTAGTGAAGCCTCTTAGTTTAGGAAATATGCTTGGACAGTGCTATAACGTACAGATCTGGGTTGCTAACTATATCTACTCTTCTGGGAATACGTTTTATGAAACTTATGGGATATTTTGAAAGTACATAAGTGTTGAATAATATTCTAGATTCTATTTCTTAGAAACTTGAACAAACAATTGGGTGAGCCTGATAGAATTAGTCATATACCACATTGTATCATCCTAACATTTAAAAAATTAGGTTAATGTATATTAGTAAGAGTATGTGAATGAGTTTTGCCATAGGTAGCAGTTTTTACAGTCTACTTGAAAGAAAGTCCAGGAGCAATCCACTTCATAATAACTATTTAATATTCAACATACTCTATGAACATAATAGTTTAATACAAAAGAGAAACATGTGAAGAAGAGTATCTTAATTTTATAAATCTATGCAAGTAGTAACTAATCTCTCATAATTTAGAAAGTTTCATGGGTGCAAATAAGAGAGACTTTGGCAGGCTGTGTCTTCCACATACAGAAAATTGCTTAAGAGTTTCTCTACCTGCCTGTACTATGTGTATGGGAAGCAGAAAAGATACTGAGTAACAAAAGATCTTTCAGATCTTTCTTCTAAATGTGCAAAAGTCTTTAGAAAAGTCTGTTTGGGGCTGGGATTTATATGCATTCCAGTTCATATAGAAACAGATAATGGTTGTAAAACATTTAACCATCTCAGTTAAAGACCCAGCAACTTCACTTGTGCAATCTGCTGAGCAGTTAGATTTGTTCCTTTATTTGATGGGTCAGTGTGTAGTTCAATCTCAGCTTGTTTGCTTAGTTTAAGTATTGTATGAATACGAAAATCAGTCATTTCAGCAATCAGGTTAAGCACATTATATGAACACAACCATAGCTGTAATATTTTATCTGTTCACCTAAATACTCACATATGTATTGCCATGTATGTTTCAAATCCGACACTTCCATGATGAACTGGTATTTCTAAAAGTCCTTGTTTTTAATAAATGTTATCTTCATGGAAATAATTCAGATCATGAACAGACCATTTCAATTACACCCTTTGTGTTGACTTACAAGGAGTCTTATGTCTACATAATGATAATGATTAACACACTGACTTACAATGATAGGGTCATAAGATAATGTAGCCGTAACGCTGGCTTCCCAGTGGCAATCAAACTTGGCATGGAGATTTTGTCACTTCTGTAACTTCAATTATTAACTCTACCTTCAGGGCCACACAATACAGTGCAATCTCGTTAATTTTAAACAGAGTAACTATTACTTCTTTCCACTGGACTACATTTGCCTTATCTTTGAGATGTCTACTCTAGGTATATTATCTTGGAAGTTATAGTGTTGATCTGTTGAACCAAAGATTTATGCTACTTTATATTTTATCAACTAAAGATATCTTACTCTACTTGTTTCTGTTTACATGTTGAACTTTACATAGCTGGCCTTAATTTGACTACATTTTTAAGGTTTCTGTAATGTATCCATTCAGCATACAAGGTAATTTGGGTTAAATTCCTGCTGGCAAACTACAGTGCAACATAGTACATCTTAGTTTCCTCTTAGCTTTATGTTCTGTACTTTGG